AATTTGGCAAAATAGCGTAATGGACACGCATACGTAATCGGATTAACTCTGGTACAAGATTGAGTCCATTTAACTACTTGTTGTGTCCAACAATGTCCACTTGAACCTTATCATGGTCTTGAATTCAAACAGTGGTCATCGGTCTGCGGACACGTGAATTGCATGCCTGACCAACATGGCAAAACAAGAACGTTACCTGCGATGACTGGACCCGTATCTCGAGACATCGGTGACTCGTGGCCACATGGCTAAATAGGTAAACAGTGTGGGGCTTGCTTTATGAACTATCAGCAGGTCGGTGATGTTATACAAAACGTAGCGATAAACTCGACAAATTCACAAATTTAACATTGTTTGATTGTTACATGAAACTGTCTTTCATGTAGACGTGCACTATGACGCTAAAACCCGAATGTTTATCTCACGTGGTGATTTGGGGCCCCAGTCCGCTTTTTTGTTACCCATATTTTGATTCTACTGCAATGTCTTAACTATCTGAGAATGAAAGATTCCTCTCGTAAATTGGTAGTTACTTTATCATAGACCAGTTAATGGCTGTCTATCCATGTTGGATAGACATGTTGGCATAGAATCTGGTTTGTATATCCGCATGAAATGGGCAAATGTAAAACTAATCAACATGGGCATACATATAGGAAATGCTTATTTGGCAATGAAGAATAATTTATCATGACATATGACTTATGTCGGTGTCAGTTATCATGAAGGAACACCTCGTCAAATAGAAAACAATCACGATTTCAGAACACAATGTAAAACAATAGGAATAAAGAGATAATTTAAGATAATTCAAATATTGGTCAGTCGAATGTTTTTGCATAAAGGAATCATTCAAGTATAACAACCATCACTATCATACCAACCATCACTTTGAATAATTTAGTTTCCGTATTCAATACATGCGGGTATTTGTTAGCAAACATTATGTTAAAAGGTGAACAGTCAACGCTCACATTCGTTTATTGCAACGTTGAACGAGGCGTTGGGTATAAATCAAGTATCCAGGGTGATGTTTCTGGTCGATACGTTGAACGTATCTTAAGTTTACCTTACGAATTTAAACATTGGTAAAGTCATCTGTGGCGTCGTTAGTAGTGTGCACATGACTAACAACACATATATGGATGCTAAATCGTTCATTTGCAAGGCATGGGTTTGTTTTATACAGAAGCTGTTTGCTTCTTATGCTAATCGTGTTTACTAACACTCTTAGCATGTCACGAAATTAAGATGTAATTTATTATACATAACTCTTGACCCATTTTATGGCGTCTGATAACCCTAAATGTTGAAATAGGGAAATATGTCACGTTTGCGATTATTGCATTGTAGTAGTTTGTAGCTAATTATGAGCAACCATAACCTATTTGGTTGATATTCTGGTATATAATATATATATAATATCCGAAGTAAGAAAACTAAACTGCCGGGCAAAGTATACATATGAAAATTGGATTTGAGCAAAAATTTACAAACATTATCAAAACGTTACTAAGCTGAAAACAGTCGCTGAAACACTGCAAACTTAAGGTCCAATACGCATCTATGATATCCGTATCAAATATGTCACCATCGAAAAAACATTTCTTGTTTGTTTCATTTTAACCATTATCAAAAATGGGTGTGTACTCTCGTTTGCCCGGCCTTTTGTATTTGAAATTACATTGCAGTGAGGGGACATCGTAATAATCAACAACAAAATGTGTTTTACCTGATCGCTGTATGTAACTTGATACATTTAATATCAAACTAAAGATTTTAGGGGTGAAATAAATTGATGCCTAATAAGGTTGGGCTCAGAAGATTGTGTAGATATGTATTATCTGTTAAACATTGTTCAGTGTTACGGTTCTCTGTACTATTTGTTCATATATAAGTAAATCTTGCTCTATCTTCGAATTCTTTTGCATTGGAAGAGTAGAGTTATATACATTTTGAATATGAAATACCTAAATTAATTTTTCATCAAGGGAAAATTCACGTTTGCAAATATTAATGGCGTTTTGTAAAACATACGTTACTATATGCCGTTGAAAGATATCTGTGTTCTTTTTTCATATAATAAATTCGAGATTGGCATAATATGGCCTAATATCAACGACAAAAGGGTGACATGAAATAAAAGTACTGAGAAACTACGCGTGCTAAATATAATAAAATCACTGTATGTGCTTACAATCTCAAAAGGAATTGTTAGAAATAATAATACTTATTCGAATTAAATCATGCCGAAAATAGAAAAAAACCAATTATGAACAGGACCAACCGAAGAGACCGGCAGTGGAGTGAATTTTCTGGCACAAGTAATCAGTGTTCGAGTCAAATACGAACGATAAAGAGCTATATAATTTTGGATTGAATTTTTTTCAAGGGCTATCAAGAGCCTTGTGCAACTCACGTTTTAAATAGATTTATCACAATTCCAAATGATGGTTTGCAAATTTGTCTAATACGCAAGGAATTACTACAGTCCACAGTCCTCGATTGGGCTGTGTTTGCTGTTTATGTGCAATCGGAGATGCTTTCATACAGGTCCTGATAAGGCACTAGACCCAAAGCAAAGTCAGACAATTTTGTCAAACAATTGTTGGTTGAACGAGGTGTTGGGTGTCACTTCAAAGGAAATGTTATGAAATCAACACAAAATAAACATATCTTTAATAACTCAATATTATGAGCAGTTGAGAGGTTGTCTGGACGTTTAATGGATAAAGTGAATGGGATGGGACACCTGTATTAAAATGATATCTACCCGTATCTGATTTTGTGATATATTGTCGATTTCGTGTGCATGCATATATTATAGATATTCCCCATCTATGTTCAAACGGTGTGTGGTGACTTAAACAAGTTAAGGTTTTACAAAGCAGTTTGTGATATGAAATTTTATGTTTACAGGGTTAAAAAGAGATATGATATTGAGAGAAATAATACCAGGGACCATCAACTTAGGTGGAATACTGATTCATTTTTATATTTTCACCAATATTACATTACAAGTTATTTTGTCATTTATTCTGAAAAAATGTTTTTGAATAGATAGTTTCATTAATCGAATCTGCATGTTATGTAGTTCATATTTGCAGTGGAGTCTTTATTCGGGTTTCTATCTGTATATCGTCGTCATTTCTCTTAGTATTTCAATATAGATTCTAAAGAAAAAAGCACTGCCATATGCGTTCAAGTTGACAATTCCTCACTTAAACGTCTTAACTTTCAGGAATTGTGGAAATAAAATATTTTGGACATAATATCAGCTGACATTTTAATTATATATCAATGTTATCATATAATTCTTATCTTCAAATATTAAATCCAAGTTGTGAATGTTAAGACAAAAAGATGTATTAATCATTTTGCATATGTAATGCAGGCAAAATATAATCACATAAGTTTTAGGTGTATAACGAAATAGAATATGCAGTATAAAAATCGATGGAACAGATAATATCATTTTACTTTAAGGAACTATTAAGTTCCACCTCATCATATTGTGTTCATTGACCTCCCTACACACAAATGCACCTTCTAGTGTTAAAAATCGCAGATTTAATATCAAGATTTCGCTGTGGGAAATTTTTATGTGTCCTTACTCTGAAATTAATCTCTTATCACTTTGGTGTGAAAAGCAATTTAGCCGGATTCATTTTACGATCATGCCCGTAAAATAGCGTTATGCGTTGCTTTTCTCTTATTCTTAAAGCTGATACCAAAGACATACCCTGAATTATGAGCTTTGTAGCAAATGAAAGAGTATTTGGAACCCCTATTACCAGAAAGGGGTGTTTGGGGTTAGAACTTATAATCAGATTGAGGAACGCGCAAGGATCAGAGCAAGGCTATAGAGTGTTGGGGGTGAATGAAATTTTATATGCCTTTTCAATTTGCTGGGTGGTTGCTTTTGAGCACAGAGCCGTTTTTCAACCAAGCTATTTTTTAGCTCTTTGTTGTTATTAAAGTTCTCTTCAATAACGATAACATGGTTATGAAAAATACATATATGAACATTAGGATGGAAATGGATAGTTCAAATTGGAAGAATATATACCTTTGGGGTGGATGATGGTCTTTGAAATGCCATAGTGGGGGATTCAAGTAGATTGTGAATGTAACATTTAAGATTTCTTAATTATTATTAATAAATTGCATACCGTAAACGGTGAGAAATGTAGTTTAAAATATAGATATAATGACTTTAGAAAATATATTATTATTGGAAATAGCTTAATATAATTATTCATGTAGTGTAGATGAACATTACATATTGGCGAACTCCACGAGTCTGTTTCAGGTACATTTTTAATAGCTTACTTTACATAACAGCAAAATGATCAAACATTGGTCGATTATGTCTCCTTGATAAAAAGTCACTACATAAAGTCATGGTCGGATCACACACTACCCGAGACTGTGTTACTGTTTTCTCTATGAAACCAGTTACGTCTATATAAATTCAACCGAATGAATAAATATAAACAGAGAGTGACTATTTGATCACAAAAAAGTACATGAGATATTTCACAAAGACGTGGGATGATTTACATAACATGCATAGAAAAAACGGGCAAATAAAACACCGGTATGACCTACATTGGAATATATATTGCTCTTGGGGTGGATCGTGACACGCATAAAATATGTCTTTCTCAGGGTTCAGATTTGTCATACTTGTTTGCTTAAGTTATTTAGCAAATATGAGAAAGTAGTCAGGTAGATCCTGTGTGTTTAACGGGCATTTCAGGATTTCGAATATGTATGTACACCTATGACCATCTTGAGGAGGTTATTTTGTCAAGGTATTTCCGTAAACACATCACGCCGCATTGTCGTGTGATGTGTTCAGTTATCAGAAACCCCGACACCTTCTTCCTTGTTTTAAGGGTACATTGTGTGCATGAAGTGATTATATCCGCATACAGCGTTAGTATATGTGGTACACATCGGTGCGGATGTTCGCAGGTTAACGAAATTTAACTCACCTTTTGAAAACGCATGATGTCTCCCGTCCAACAAGGCATACTCGTGAGCACGATATGGAGGAAAGGGGTACATTTGACTGAGCAGAGTTCCGTTGTAAGCCATTGGCGTTGTGAGGTAACTGTGTGATAGGAGGGAAGGGTCGTACACTGCCACGGGCTTGTATAAGTTCGGAGGTGCAATTGTATGTGAAATTGGACTAGATTGCAGGGCAACTGGGTTGATAGGCGTAGGTCTTGCTGGTGCAGAGTTCGACACAGATGAACCAGTCGTATTGCCTAAAATGTCATCAATTCGGAACGACGTCTGTCCCCCTGGTGAAGTGTTGCCGTGGTGTTGTACCCCCGGGGGTGATGTCTGTAGGGTAGGGTACAGCGTTGACAGCCCCCCTGGAAGGATATGGTGGGGATGCTGCGCAAGAGGATGCATCATGGCGACGTTGGCAAATGTCGTCTGCAAGTGTCGTCTGCTTCCGTACGAATTTCCAGGGGAAATATTTTCATTAAACATTCACTGAAGTATGTGCCAAAGACGATCCAGATCCACAAAAGCACGTTTTGAACGGCCGAGGCAATCACTGAAATGAAATCAAATAATACAGTTCACTCCATTGTTCTACGAACATCGCTCATTAAATTATGTCGCTTAACTGCTCACAATACCCGTTATATCTTCTACTCCTAAATTTCCGTGTTATTAAAGGCCCTTAAGTGACTACATCTCGTCACATGTCGAGACGAAGCCACCACACGGAGGTGGGAGTGGCGATTCGACGCTATCACTGTGAAGTGCTATCGGTAGATGCTTATAGGTCAGCTCGAATAATTAATGGCATCTACCCATGTTCGTTTACCAGGACCTGATTGATGACATACTTTGACATGGACCCCTCACACCCCTGACACTTCAAATATGGACTCTCCCCAAGAGGAAAGGAGCCCGTCGTCAGTTACTGCCCAATTCGTATAAGAAGTGGGCGGATCCAACAAGCATCAATCACGCTATAGAAAGTTTTCAACTGTTCCGCTGCTTATTGCCACGCCCCCTGTTTAAGATAAGCTGAAATCAGCAGTGGGATACCTACAGTGTTTTGTTAAGCTTACTTGTTAACCACATCCAACACGGACGCCTAAGTCGTTCACTCGCTAAGGGTTTCTTATATAACTGTGTACACTACTAAACTTGGGGCAATTTCGGACAAACATTCAACAACTCAAAGTACATTAGATGGTAGGTTTTCAAGGTTACCTTGTATTAAGTACGGTTGAGGAGGTTAATGAAGGGATATTTATAATAGAATGAACGTTTGGGGATAGAACATAGAAGAAGGTAATATTATGGTCGTTCTGGACATTTTTTAAACGACTTAAGATTAACGCATACATTTTTTATTTAATTGCTGAAATTTGTCCAGTTTATAGCATGGAGATGATCTTTGGGTGGACAGTGTACATTAAAGTGATTGGTATGTAGGACAACACCATTACAAAGTTTGGCATAGAGTGCATAGTACCTTCTAAATGGGTATTAATGTTAAATAGCATATAGTCTCGAGCACTTGATTTTTCTGCTTGTAAAATAAGCATATCTGTATGAGTAAAATTTGAACATGGGATATTTTCAAATTGGTGACAAAAAATCATCAGTTGCATTAATTTAGTTACACTAATTAAGAAAGTAGAGACAACATATACCTTTTTTATAACCAATAATTCTTATATAGATGGAGCGAATTTCCACTGCTGGGATTGAGGATCCTAGTATGTATATCCGATATAGATATCAGATTTCTGACAGAGGATGTTAAATGTCTCATGTTTCACACATCAAAATTTGATTATTTGAAATATATTACGTGTACATATTATTGTGTAATATGATGCGTACGTGTACATGTGTGTCATGTATATGATGCTTACAACGTGTACATATATGCCATGTATATGATGCCTACAACGTGTACATATGTGCCATGTATATGATGCTTACAACGTGTACATATGTGCCATGTATATGATCCGTACCACGTATGCATATGATTGTGCCATGTACATCACGTAAACCATTAATATCATGTGCATCGCATCTGCATATGTGTCATGTCATGTATATGATGCGTACCATGTGTACGCTTGTCATATATATGATGTGTACCATGTGTGCAAATGTGTCATATATATGATGCGTACCATGTGATTAATGTGTCATGTATATGATGCGTACCGTGTGTTCATATGGCATTGTCGTGTATATAATGCGTATCTTTTTTACCATATGTTGAGATATATATAATGCGTACCATGTGTACATATGTTATGTATATCATGCGTATCATGTGTACATATGTGTCATGTATATCATGCGTGTCGTAATTCATGTATGTGTTATGCTTTTTGCACCATTGACTCTGAAAAAGTCCAAAATCGACGAAACAATGTATTAAGGGATAACACTCAGTCTTGCATTTTTTTCCATATTCATTCCATATGACATTGAAGGATATCTGTTAAATATTTTTCGCTTAAGATAGTCTGATTTATTTTAGCAATATGTTATGTTTTACTGGTTGGGATAACAACATGTTATTATCTACAGGAAGCACTGACCAAAGACAAAGTATGAAGTCTTCATCGGTTATTAGGTGCTTTTTAATCATCAGCTGTATTTACCATCTCATTCACACACTTTTTACTTACTTCTGAGCCTTTTTTTAAACAACACAATGTCATATCGAAATATTCTAAAATTGAAACACCAATAATACAAGCTGATCATTCTGAAATATTTTATATATCTAAATATAAAAGTATAATGTATGAATCCTCGATAACAATATATATTAATTTTTCAAACATTTAATTTATTTTGGTATGCCTTGAAAAAATGCTGTTGTAGTACAAGAAGCAATGAAGGATTATGTGGTGCCTATAAGGCATAATGGATTTTTCCAAAACCTAAATATGACTCGACCCTAACAGGATCTTTATCAACGACATTCTCTTCCGTTCTGTGCAAGACATTTCTCCTACGCCAGAAGACCATGTGCACCAATTGTTGTACTGGGCAGTAACATGATGTCCATTGCACCTGCAGGTTTATGAACACGCTTTTAGCTCCTGAAAGATATTTCTTATTAGGTCAAATGTTGAATCCAGTTAGTATATACTGTTTCTGCTTCGTGTAAAAAACCCACTTGATTTGTTAATTATGAAGATTTGTTTTAATTATTCATCAATGTCTACTGTACTGTTGATATTTTCGTACACAACTGACTTGATAAATGTTTCATGGCAAAAGAGTTATACTTTGTAATATGTCTTGCCTGCTTTTGAAAGCATTAATAAGCCCATTGTGTTACGCACAATAAATTTAAATTTAAATGGGTTATCTACAAGTTGACCAATATCTTTTTTTTAATCTGCAGAACATTTAAATGATTCGAAAGTAGTTTAAAATAACCAAATATCAATATTTTAAAAGAAGACAATTATTTTCTGGACTCACATACATGTCATCTGCTACACACCGGGGAAGCTGGCAAGAGGACCCCTGCTGATAGCGGGAGTTTTGGGGGGGGACTGGAATGCAGTTAGCTGTTCCTCACTTTGAGGAATTCAGAGACCCTTATTCCACTAAGTGCCTACCCTTTGTTATCAATGAAGACCACGCACATATAACCGGGAAATGTTTTTCCAGATGGTAAGATAGGTACAACATAATACATTGTTGTACCAGTGTTCCGTTATGCTACGATTTACTATCTGTCAGGGTTTTATTGTCTATGGCGATTAACTAAGATTAAGCAGTTTAAAAATAAAAAGCAACTCAATTTTCCTTCCGTTTTTTGGACGTCCTATGAACAACGATGCCTTTGCATGACTCCAAACCTTGTGTATACCATGGTTGCAAATTTGCTTTCAGCACATATGCATTTTTATGGCGTAACATGCACACTTTTTATTGCATACAGGTTACTTGTGTCATACAATTTAATCAATGCTGAATAAAAATTACAAATACATATATACATACTAGTAGGGTGATGAATTTGTGTTTCCAGTTACAAAACAATTACATTTCACAGATATTTCGCCAGTGATATGTGTGAATAAACCACAAGATAAAAGTACATGTAAAGCAAGTTTCATGAACTTAAATATCCATGGTTTTAGTAAAATAATAATAGCCAGTAGCTGAAGAAGACATGTTAAAATGTTTGATATGAGTTGGAGCGAATCAGCAGCGATATGAGCATCAATGATAATGACACAAAAGAACAAGAAGATGAGTATATGAAATTCAAATGCAAATCAATGGTACGCTGTTAACGATAATGAGAGGTTGTGATTGTAATGGGGAAATTTTTTAAAAAGAAAAAAGAAGGAAAGCAATATGGGGAAGGAAATGATAGGTGAACATATTACAAACAACGATGTAAACTTTTCTCCAGTAGTTTATACTTTCTCTTTTTTATTACCATCGGTATATTTGTCATTTCTGTAATGCGTATGTCATTTAATGCAAAATTGTCAGGGATAATGAATAGTTTTGGGGATATTTTTTTATGAAATTGTGATCACTGCACAATATCCCCCAAAACATTAACGATCCCTAACTTGTTTTTTTTTAGTATATATACATACTGCAATGGGTGAATTGTTTATTATTTTATGTCCGGGTGATGATGATGACTAATTCCCTCGTTGTTATATTATGCTGAAGTAATTGATACCTCCTCATGTTAACATATTGACAAAGATGAAAACTCCTCCAGAGCACCATGTTATCATATCATAGAGTTTGCTGTCATTTCAATGTATCATATTTATGATCACATGTTATCATATCATAGAGTTTGCTGTCATTTCAATGTATCATATTTATGATCACATGGTATCATATCATAGAGTTTGCTGTCATTTCAATGTATCATATTTATGATCACATGGTATCATATCATAGAGTTTGCTGTCATTTCAATGTATCATATTTATGATCACATGTTATCATATCATAGAGTTTGCTGTCATTTCAATGTATCATATTTATGATCACATGGTATCATATCATAGAGTTTGCTGTCATTTCAATGTATCATATTTATGATCACATGGTATCATATCATAGAGTTTGCTGTCATTTCAATGTATCATATTTATGATCACATGGTATCATATCATAGAGTTTGCTGTCATTTCAATGTATCATATTTATGATCACATGGTATCATATCATAGAGTTTGCTGTCATTTCAATGTATCATATTTATGATCACATGTTATCATATCATAGAGTTTGCTGTAATTTCAATGTATCATATTTATGATCAAAAGGTATCATATCATCACAGGGTTTCATATCATCACTAGTTTCAAATTGTCACTCAGTATCATTTCATCTTAATTTTTTGTATCATCATTGGGTCGCAATCACAGATCAACATATCATCACAGAACACGATATTTACTAAGTGTAGCATATTATTACATAGTATCACATCTTCAGAGTACTACATCATCACAGAATTTCATATTGTTACAGAATATGATATCTTCGCGTGTTATCATAGCATCACATTTCCGCCATGTAGCTGTTTTAACGCAGAGTATAGCATATTAAACAACCCGATTAAAGTATCACCGAATATACCTCCGTAGTAAAGTATATCATAAAAGAGTATCATATCAATAGAGAAATACAAAACTGAAATATACAAAATAATAACAATGCTTTAATTACCAAGAATTCATCAGAAATTTCAAAACAACATAGAGATAAGCGAAACCACATTTTTG